CACCGCGGCCAGCGTTGTTGTCCTCGTGGAGCTCCTCCTCTCTTGGCAGCTCCTCCTCGATCTCCTGCGTAGGAATGGGCCTGGGAGGCTCTCGCTCGACAGGGGGCTCGAACTCGACCTCGTTTCCGCGAGCGACAGGTTGGGCAACCCGAATGGGCGAGTCCGGCTCGGCCTCCTCCTCCTCTTCCTCCTCGGGGGCGGGACGGGGAGGCATGCCAGGGAGCGCAAATCCACCAGCGGGCGGTCGGCTGCCTGCAGGAGGAGGAGGGGGTGCCTCCTCCTCTTCTTCCTCGGCATCATTGTGAGCGGCATAAGCTGCGGCGCCTCCAGCTGCACCGGCAACGGCTGCAGCTCCCACAGCAATAGGAGCAGTACCCTTGAAACGATCGCGAAGGGCACCAACACCACCGCTGGGGGAGGCAGGTGCCTCACGCTCCTGCTCGCCAGTGTTCTCTTGGCTAATCTTGCCACGGCTGTATTCGGCGGTCTGAACAGGAGCCCAGGACTTTCCGGAGTAGCCACTCTTCCACTCTCCGCTCTTCTGCACTCCAATGGGGGATGTGATAGGAGGCGACACAGGGTTCGAGATGGAACCCGTCTTGCCCTTCTTCTCAGCCCACAGCTGGGCAGGCGTCTTGCCGCCTTGGTCAGCAAAGGTTCGGCTGGCAGCTCCAACCGGCGCGGCAGCCGGGACGGCAGGTGCGCCGAAGCCCATGCCTCCGGGCGTGGGAGCCTTCGTGCCAGTGAAAGTAGATCCACCAAACTTGTTAGCAACCTTTGGCTTGGGGAGGGACGTGAGGCGCTCCGACTGCGCGGACTGGCTGAAAGCAGCACTGCGTTCGGCCAGGGACCTCGGACGCTCTTCATCGGCGGCGGGCTCCGGCTCGGAGGGCTTCTGAGCCTTAGCACGGATAGCCGCAATATCAACCTTGCCAACCGGCTCGTAGGCACCCTTCACAGGAGTCGGCCTGTCGTCGTTCTTTTCCTTGGCGGCAGCACGAATGGCAGCGATGTCCACCTTTCCGATTGGCTGGTATCCCCCCCTCACAACGTCGCCTCGGTCTTCTTGAGAGTTGTTCCCATTGAAGCCGGAGGGTTCTTGGCGCTGCTTCGTGAGCTCTGCCATGTTCACCTTGGTGGGCTTGTATGCCGGCGCGACCTTCTCGAGCTGCGACCGTGTGACCGGGGGAGCGTCGGCTCCCCAGCCGTCTTCATCGACGTTCGCGGGCTTGCGGTTTCGTGCGGCCACGATCGGGTTGACAGATCCGACCGATGATGTGGTGGGAGTGAATACGGGCTTAGAAGCAACTGGCGGTGGGGCGGGGGAAGCCGTGGAGCCGCCGGCTGAGTACTTGGCGCCGGAGGCATCGGCAATCTTGCGCATAACGCTCTCCGGCTCGAGGTCGCTGTCTGAACGAGCGGTGATTTGGACGTGATAGCCGTGGAGGATCTTGGAAACGGCAGCCGTGTGGGTGGTAAAGTAGCCCTTGGTCCGCTCGGGGACACCGCCTCCACACCAAGCAATCAGGGCATTCTTGGGAAGCCCAGAATTAGGGTCCTTGACCTTTACGAAAGCGAATTGGATGCGACCCTCGTTGAAGTCTTCGATGAGTTCCGAGAGCTCGCCGTCTGCCGCGGGGGAAAACGACGTGTCAGCGTGTGTCCCGCCATGTGACGTCGGCAGCTCGGGATGGGGACCAGGAACCTACCTCCAGTGCTCTGGACCTTGAGCACGCTCTCCTTGGCACCAGTATCTTGGAAGGCATTAGCCAAAGGAGCTTGAACCGAGAACAAAGCCCATTGAGCGTATGTCGGCGAGCTCGAGCTCGGAGGCGGGCCGTTGATGACACCCTGGTAGCTGCTCTTGATCGAGGGTCCGTTTATGGACAGGTTGAGTGACGCCATTGCGAGTGTTTGCTTGGAGCTTGACCAGCAGTGGGCGCGGGTTGATGAGGCGTCGATTCCTTGGGGAGATTGGGGGAAAAGAGGGCAAAGAAAGGAAAAGACGGAAGATGGCAGGTTGCAAAGATCTCCGTCGGAGAGTCGCCTATGTCTTACGGGCAAGAAAGCTGACGTAGCAAACCAACCGCCTGTATTGCAGAGTCGTGGGCAGCCGAGAGTTGGAGAGGCGCAGCACGGGTGGAACTAGAACTTGGAGGTGAAGCACGGTCCCACCGACTTCCAATACGCGGGCAGCGAGTTACGCAGTCGTTTGGCTTGCCAGGTGTCGGAGCGGGGCAGGAACATACCTAAGAGCGGTTAGGTAGCTGGTAGGGCAGCTTAGGTACGAATACAGATAGAGGGGTACAGTGGGCTCAGGTACGAACACAGCAAGCGGGAGGGGCACAGAGAACAGCGCATTTCGACTCATCAGAGAATGGATGCGCCCAAACACACGCAGAAGGGGGCTGGATGCCTTACAGTGAGATCACTGTGTTCCCACTTACCTCAGCGCCCAATGAGCTGTCTGCCGTTCTCGCTCTCCCCCTCGAGCCACCCATTCCCCTCTGGCGGGGCGAACCCGGGAGTGGTTTCGCTGAGTCAGACCTTCCATTTATGCAACTAGGCACCACAAACACACGCCATAGACTAGTTTTCCTGATACAAGCAATTTTGCGCTCGCATAAGCTCTTTTCTGTCGCCATCGATCACGAATTGCCCCTCCAAATACCCCTCCACCGTATCGGAGACCCTGGGTTTATCAGCCGTTGGCTTGTCATTTCGTGATCCGGCACCCGACCGAAACTGTCCGCATTCCGGAATCTCTTTCTCACTTATACAACCCCACGCGACCCATCCCGCGACTCCCTCTTCCGATTGCGCCTCCCCCGATACCCCCCGCGCATCCCCTCAGAGTCCTCACACCTACTACCGCGAAAAAGAGTTCGCGATCCACGAAGACGCACAATGTCGACGATCACGGAGATCACCAGTCTCGCCGACTGGGAGAAGCACATTGCCTCCACACCGCCGTCCACCCTCCACATCATCTCCTTCCACGCCCCGTGGGCCGCCCCCTGCGCGCAGATGGCCACCGTACTCTCGACCCTCGCCTCAGAATACCCCGTCACCAGCCCCCCCGAGACCTCCTGGGTCTCCATAAACGCCGAGGAGCTCAGCGAGATTAGCGAGACCTACAACGTTACTGCCGTGCCCTTCCTCGTCCTCCTGCGCAACGGCCAGGTCCTCGAGACTGTTAGCGGCAGCAGCGCCGTCAAGGTGCGCAATGCGATCGAGACACACGCCAAAAAGTCCGCCGGCGCCGGCGCGGTCACGGTGAACGGAAACCAGAGCGTCGAGAACGGGCCCAGCGCGATGCAGGTCGACGAGCCTGTGGACCCGGCCAAGGCCAAGGAGGAGCTGTTCAAGAGGCTGGCGGACCTCGTCAAGGCCGCGCCAGTCATGCTCTTCATGAAGGGCACACCCAGCTCGCCCCAGTGCGGCTTCTCCAGACAGCTTGTTGCCATCTTGAGAGAGCACTCCGTCAAGTACGGTTTCTTCAACATCCTGGCAGACGACGAGGTGCGGCAGGGGTTGAAGGAGTATGCGGACTGGCCGACCTATCCTCAGCTCTGGATCGACGGAGAGTTGGTTGGTGGTCTGGATATTGTAAGTGTATATCAAGACCATTGCTTTCTACACGAACTGACGCCTTGCCATAGGTTAAGGAAGAAATCGCAAACAGCGATGACTTCTTGGGCCCTTACAGTATCAAGGGCAATGAGACTGCCGCTACTTCATAGACAGAATGTTGATGAGCAGACTATTGAAAAACGGTGTACCCTACGTACTAGCGGCTTTATCTGCGGCTTCTAGTTACAGATATTCCCCCTCATGAGTATGGTGGATGTCACTCACCACCCGCCGCCGATGTCCTCCATGCAATTCGCCAATCAATGACAACTCAGATCGCAATCTCCAAATCCGCACTGCGCGCTGACGGTGGCATCAGTGGGAAGAGTGGGCAAGGTGGAAAGGCGAGCAGTGACAATGGGGCCCAGAAGAACAGCGCAGTCGAGTGGGCGATATTCATGATGACGCATCTGTCGTTATGTAGGCATGACTTAGTCATGAATTTAATGAAACGTTCTAGAAGCTATACTGGTAGGCCTCTGCAGTAGCTGGTGTGATAATGTAATGTATAAATGCGGCAGGATTCACCATGAATTTTGCTAGCCACACATTGTCAGCTGGCTTTCCGGGCAGTGTCCCCTATGACTTCGATCTTAGAAATGCAGACATTCATCTCCAAGCTCGTTGTGCATGCAGTAGTTGTGAGATATGGGTAGTCTCAAGGAAGCAGGGCCTGGTACCTAGCAATGGCAGGTACGAGGGACCGAAAGTCCAAGGCCGGATAGGCAGTGTCAATCAAATGGATATTCGTCCAAAAGATAGCAGGTATTATCAGTAAGTCAGCAGTTGAACGCCTTGATGTTCTTTCCGTACGAGCTCAAGTCATCGAGTTGGGCGAACACTAGCAGGAATACGCCAATCTGGTCTGACAAGCATATCTAATGCCCCTTCCCTCCTTTGTAATACGTATTTGGCCAGAGGAACGGGGCCATGGTAGTTGTTTCTGCTTATCAAGAGATATCAGTAGCGCATGCCGCTGCTGTCTTGTGACTGAACAGCAGGATCTCTTCTTCAACCGGCAGGTGTTGTGCAACCCCTGAGACCTCTTTCTTCAAATTTCCGAACCTATCAAGAATGTTTCTGAAGCGGCAAAGAAAGAGATGTCCTCGGCGATTGAGGTCTCGCCAACTTGTCTTGCTGCTGGTCTACCCATGGACCCAGTGCCTGCCATGTCGAGACAGCCTCCTTTCTGTGGGAAACTGCTCACGTCTCCTGAAGGGACGAGAATACACATCGTTTCTTTCTGGAATCCATCCAACACAGGTGCTTAATCTCACCACCCTCATCACTTCTGATTAACAACATCACAACAGGTCAGCAATCCCTGTACCTCTTTTTCTCTTTCTGGATATTGAAAGCAACTTATCATGGCTCCAGTCTGCCCTTTCAGGTACACCACTTACGGTGCAGGCTTCAACACTGCCCACGATCCCAGCTTCCCCATCAGCGACAGAACAGACGGACTACTGGCGTTTCTCACTCCGTTTCAACGCCTGAAGGCCGAGCTCAACCGCAAAAAAGCAGCCGAATTAGACGGACGTTCTTTCCTCGTCCAGTGGTTTATGCCCATTCCGAGGTGGGGGAAGACGCTGAAGAAGACCGTCGAAGATGACATGAGGAATCTTGTACATCCCGCACCGCTCCTCAACCTCTCACTTTATTCGGTGTCCAGACGTACGATAGACCATCCCCAAAGCGATATCGTAATCGTCGCACAAGCTGCGACTGAGGAAGAACGCCCGAACCATTCACAACTTCGCAGCCAGGTGTACCCCAAGATCCTAAGGCTTCTCTCGAGGTCAGTGCTGGAGTCTCGTCATTTGCTGCTTTCTCCATCTGGGTGGATTTCATACCAACCTCTTCCACATCAAGAAGCAGACTCTAACCCCCCTTTTATTAGTCCCGAAGTCGGCAGACCTGAAATCGGATGTTACGTGGAATACGCTATCGACCCTCGTCGGTTGCTCAACCCGTTGGGGATTTTGCCCCCGAGGGAACCCGAAGAAGATCTGACCCGGACTCCCGACTTTTCCGGTTCGGGCTCATCATCATCGAGTAATTCGAGCCCGTCGAGCCCCATCACCGCTCCTCTCGGCTCTGATGGTCCGCAGCCTCCCGAGGATGAGGACGAAAAGGCAAAAGAGGAGGCGGATCCCGTTTCCGAGTTCTTCGACATAGATGCATATGATGCTTCGAACAGCCCGAAGAGCTAGACGGGAAACAGCCATGGTGTATGGAACCTTTACAACCAATACGAGTGTACCTTTATGGCTTATCCACAGCGATGGTGCTTGCAGCGGACGTATTTCTTTCTGGTATAACGGGCGGCTCCGGTCTTAACGACCGACCCGAGGTGATAGACGCATGGAAAGGGGATCAACCCAGTAAGACAAACATTGACATAGAGAAGAATTGATTGAGGTGTACTGGCTAGGAGGCAAAAGGATACGAGACTTGAGGCTTGTTGCCGAACCCCAAAGTATGTCCAACAGAGTTTCTCAAAACAAATACCAGTATGCGAATCTGGCCATCTGATTTATTTCCTTTTTTGTTATGTTGTAGTTTGTGATATTCGAAAACCACTTGGCGCCAGCATCTTACAATTATGGACAAGGAAAACCCTTACGCTGCCTTTTCGCTCTCGCCCCTCTTAACCATTATCATGTCATCATTCTTCTCTGCCCACCGTCTACAGCACGTACGTGACCGCAAGAGCTGCAGCACCGCCAACGAGCGCAGCAAGATAGCTCTTCTGCGCCTGCCTGCTTCCGCCAGACGTAGTGAGGACCGAGGGAGGAGACGTGGCAAAGACGAGACCGGTCGTAGGTGCCGCGACTCCCTGGGCCTGGATGTTGCTCGCGAGCACCATGGAAGTCATCAAGGAAGACGGCAGCGAGATGATCGCGCCGAGACGGGGAATGGTGGTAGGATCGGCGGGGGTGTCCAGTTGCGGCACTGCCGTCGGCCTCGAGCCTGTGCCGGCAGACTGAGAGCTAGCAGGTGTAGACGCAACGGTCGAGGACGGCGCGGTGGCCACGGGAGATCTGCTTTCCGCGCTGCCTCCTGCGTCGGAGCCCTTCTCGCTGCCGTTCTTGTTGCCCTTCTCCTTGTCGCCGCTGCCAGTGCTAGGAGTCGGCGTTGCGGGTGCGACACTGGAGCTGGGGGTAGTCACCGCAGAGGGCACCAGGGGAGAAGATTGAACCGGGTTAAGAGGCGGCTTGACGGCAGTTTCAGCAGGGAGTTCCGAGGGCGTGGTCGCGGGAGGAGCAGCGGCAGGCGGTGCTGGAACGCTCGTATCGGCCGGGGGAGCAGAAGGGATAGGGACCGGGGCGACAGCAGCAGGCTCGGTGGCGGGGATGGCTGGGAGTCCGGTAGCGCTCGTGTTCGACGGGATGAGAACCGGGGGCAGGGAGGCGGAAGCCGCAGCCGTCTCGGCGGGAGTGCTGGTGTTAGCCGGAGGGACAAGCACCGCGGGCAAGGTGGCAGCGGGCACAGTTGTGTTAGCTGGGACGGCGACCTTGGATTCGGCGGGAGTAGAGACGGCAGGAACAGTCGTGTTGCCAGGGACGAGAACGGCCGGCTGGGTGGCAGATGCCTCGGCGGGAGTGCTAGAGTTCTTTGGCGGAATGAGAACCTGAGGAAGGGAGGCGGTGGGTGTCGCAGATGGCTTGATAGAGACACGGCTCTGTTCACTCGCGGCAGGTGTTGTTGCAGGCGCGGTCTGGTTGTTTTTGATGGGAGCAGGCGAAGGAGCAGCAGCGCCGCCTCCAGCGGGATCGATAGTCGAGAAGATTGGGGAAGGCGCCGCATCGGTGCCGTTGCCGCCAGCCGCGGCAGAAGTCGTTGGGGCCGCAGTTGCTTCAGCGCCGTCGCTGTTTCTGTTGCCTCCTCTTCCCTTTCCCTTGCCCTTGCGGCGACCGCCAGTCGCAGGAGTTGTTGCCGCGGGAGCGGTCTCTGCCGGCGCAGTCGCGTCGCCAGCAGCATTGGATTTGGCGGGAGCGGCAGGAATCGTACCGTTGGCAGGAGCAGCCTTCGCAGGAGCAGCTTCAACAACGAGTCCAGCCGGGGTGGCCTCGGGTGGCAGGTCACCAGAGTAGATAGTCTTCGGGGCGTTGGGCGGCTTGGTGAGAACCTGAACCTGAGCTCCAACATATGTCTGGACGATAGGCTGATCCGTAAGTTGGTTGATCTTGAATGACTGAGACATGACGGTGGCCTTGGCGGAGTCGGTGATGACCATCGTGAAGCTGTCAAAGGCGGCGATAGAGGCATCGGGCGCCCAGTACAACCGACCAACATTCTGGATTTGCTCTGTCAAGTCTTGTTAGTATCACATCCCCAAGTCATCCAACATGATGACCTTACCGCCGATCCTCTCCGCAACCACTGAACCATCCGTCACTCCGCTAGGTACCAGGTCGATGTTGATGGGTCCTTGCAAGCCTGCCGTCTCCCACTCAATCGCAAATTTCTCGCCAATGTTGAAATAATCTCCTGCCAGGGGCTTCGTGAACTGGGCGTCGGCGAAGGCAATGCTCGCCAGCAGAGCCAGAGACTTTGTGAAACGCATTTCGTCCAAATCCTTAGTAGTCGTATTGGGGTCGGCAAATCGTCAAAAGGTCCTCGAGAAGAAGAATTACGGGAGTAGAAAAAAACGGCCAACTAGGGCACGGGTATCGAGGTCGAATCGAAAACGAACGTAACGAAGGGATTGCTTAAGAAAAGCTGGCCTGCAGACGGGTTGACTAGAGAATCGAAAACATTAACCAACGACCACCAAAAAAAGGATCGTCAGTTAGAAAGAGAGGCACATACAAGTAATGAGTGAGAAGCGAACAAGAATGGAGAAACCAGAAGAAAGGGAGGCAAAAGAGCCGTCCCAAGAGCCGCAAAACTCGGGCTGGTGGCTTTGATATGGATCTCCTCGCGTGTAAGTCAACGTTACCACCCCAGACAGGGGAGACCTGTGGCAGGACCCAGTGCGAACCACCCCTGGACGTCATCTCAAGGCTTCAAGCTTAGGAGAGAAAAAGCTCGGCAGGGGTGCTGGGGGCGTCTCATCGGCCGACACACGCTACCGAGCCCTTCGGAGCGGCGTATGAGGTCGCACGATAGATTGGCTGACGGGGCCGGGGCCTGGACGCAATGGGTGGCATTGAGAAACATTTCTCCCCGAAGGGTGGGCCCAGCCACTCGGGGGCACCCAACGCGGTGACGGAGGATTGCGAAACAACCATCCATCGCAATGGGGTGGGCACTGGTGCGGGAGGGGGATCTCGCAAGAGGCGAAGCCTGGTTTCGCGATCCCGGCCTCTTGCATCGCTTGGCTGTATTCAAGCTCGGCGCGTCGTCACTAGCCGCTTGGTAGTGTGTGAGCCGCATTGCGCGGCTTCGTGGTTGAGGCCTCGAGGACCGTAGAGTGAAGCCCGAGACAGGCAAACACTTGGGTGCCCATAGCTCTCGAAGCTCTCGTCTTAAACTTGCAATTAAGCTTGATTTGATTTGTGTCGTTAAGCATGTAAATGTATTAGCAGCGCACTTTCGTCCAATCCTCGTTTGATGGCCCAGCGGGATGGGTGAGCGCCTGATTGCGTTGAGGAGGTTGAATGAAAGTCGGGATGACAGGGGCCAGTGCAAAGCGGCGGCTGAGACGACGTCCTTGAGCTGATCAAACTCAAACCTCCCGCCCGGAACCAAGCCGCAGAGTGGATTCACGTTAGTGAAATCTACAGAGACCAGGCCATCTCACTAACAGCGCGCACTGACCAAGCCCCTGTCAACGCAAGCAAGTCGCTCTGGGGATGAACCGCCCTGTGTCACCTTTTTCTCCGTGTTTGATCTTGTTCTCGATGGTCACCTCGATGGCGCTGTTGGTCTCCAGCCATAGTCGCCCTTGGCGTAAATGACAGTCCAGACCCAATCTTACGTAAAAGACGCTTGTGTGATTGAAAAGGGAATAAGCATTTTGACACCCGTGCTAAAGCCATACGATAGATTAAAAGTCCAGGAGGGAAGTGGAACTTCATATACCTAGGGCTTCGGGCTCGATAAAGTTTAGGTAAAGACATATGCTTGATCCATCATGGATTGGCCATACTTTATGCCGCTGTTGTTCAGACGGAAAGATGTGTGTGGCGGTGGATCGACAGTCGTAAAGTAGCATCCTGGTAGTTCGCACCCCTGATCCAATGTGACTACCACTGTTTATCACTGTCGCTATTGACGCTGTCCTTGTCGATATCCTTCGTGGCCGTTGTTGTTATTTGGGAAGTATTCGGCAGATAGCATTCAGCATAAAGCATTTACGCTTCACGAGTCCATTAGATGACTTATCGCATACAGAAAACAGCGGCCTGAAAATGGCCGCATCCGTGACATTCTCCAGTCGCCTAATTGATTGATACCATACAGACCCAAAACCATCACCGCGAACCCAGCAGAGGCCAGCGTGTTGTGGGATCCTCTCTCTGCCCAAGCAAACCATTGTCTTAAATTTACATCATAATCTATTCCGGATACATTTCTGCAAAAGCAGCTCCGAAGCATCCTCTGAGTTCCCTCAATATGGTATTGGGCTAGACAAGCCTAGGAAAGCAGCACTGAAAGCAGACCATCCCTAGGCGCCTTCAGATTGGTTTCCAGGCGTATTCGTGTTGGAGATGCCGTGGAAAGCATCACCGAAAGCAGAATCATCTATTTCCGCGTTCATGTCCAAGCCATCACCCAGCGATGCTCCATAACTCGCCATTGCATCGCCGGCAGAATCGAGATCGCCGAGGGAGCTGAAGCCACCAGGGGTCTCTCCGGCAGGGGTACCGGCGGCAGAAGGAGCTTTAGGAGTCGGCTTCGGGGCCTCACCCTCAGTCGCATTGGCGTTGGCCGCGGCCGCAGGGTCCGGCGATGCACCCCCCTTAGGTACCATCACCCAGTCCCCGCTGCCAGTCCCTTGATCGGGCGCGGTGGGTGCATCCTTTGGAGGTTCTGTGTTGCCCATTGTGACGTCCTCTCCGACAGATGGGGCAGACTGGGCCTCTGACTCTTCAGGGATCGTTGGCGGCACGGGCGCTGGCGAAGGCGCGTTTGCGTTAGCCGGAGTGCCAGCGTTCGAGTTGAGCGCTGAGAGGTGAGCTTGTGGTGTGGGGAAGTTGTTGACAGGAGTAGATGTGGCAGAGAAGCCAGTATGCATTTGATCAAGGAGACCCGCAGCAGTGCCGCCCATGTCGATGTCCGAGTCGCCGACCATAACACCACTATGTTGAGAACCGGCCTGAGAGGGTCGTCGGGAGGCGGTGCCACTTGGCTCAGCGCCTGCCGCCGGAGCTTGTGGAGAAGCCGCAGGTGGCGGAGCTGGTGTTGGCTCTTTCACGGGCTCTGGGGCCGGCTCCTGGAAGCCGCCATCCTGGATACGATGAACGTTGTGAAGGACCTCAATATGGCGGCCAAGGTTGGCTTCGACTTGCGCCACGATGTCATCCACCTTCTTGTTGTGCTTTTGAGACCATGTGCCGGAGTTGTCGTCCGCATCTGTGGAATGGCCCTCCAGACGCCAAATCTCCGGGCCTCGCTCCTGAATCGAGTTCTTGACCTCCTTCTCTGCATCCACGAACACGGAGCTGGCCTTAAGGCTAGCCAGGTTCTTTGTATGCTCTGCCTTCATCTTTTCCATTTCCGCTTTTGTTGTCTCGAGATGCTCTTGGACTCTCTTTCTGAACTCGTCGGCGAGACCAGGCTCCAACCGACCAATGTACGGCTTCTGAGGAACCTCAGTAAGTGCATTAGCACTCTGTGCCGTAAAAATGCCATTGGTCAAAGATGCGAGCTCGCCCTTGAGGCCAAGTCCGAGATCAGGCGGCGCGATTTGGGCAAGACCGTAAGGAGAAGAAACGATCTCCTCCATCCACTCGTGGTTCTGCTGGTATCGCGCAAAGGAAACGTCTCTCGGAGTGAGGTGGTCGAAGAGGTCCTTCTCCAATTCCTCGTCGTCGTGCAGGGCTTCAGCGTGCGCCAAGGCTTGTTGCTGGGCTTGCGCCTGGGCCTGGGCCTGGGCTTGAGCCTGGGTTTGGCGGCCACGACGACCCGAGGGCCCAGAGGGCGGGTAGGCCATCTGCTGAGGAACCCTTCGTGACGGGGCTGGAGGGTTGTACATCTGAGGTCGTCCTCCATTGCGGGGGAACTGGATGCTTGGCCAGCTAGCCCGGTCGGATAACATGAAGTCCTTGCGAGCAATCTGGCCGCACTTCTGCAGGTGATTGCGGGTGGCCATAATATGTTGCGTGTCTTGGGAGACGGGAATTAGGTTGACCGGCACGCGGTCAGGAGGGTCTGACGGGCCGTAGTGGACGATCCAGAGGCTGATATCGGGCTGCGGCGCGTTCATCACACCAGTCTGCGAAGGCACAAGACGGAATCTGCGGCGCGCATGCATGGCGACCGACTCGCCGGGGATGAAACCCGACTTGATGTAGTGGATCTCGAGAGACTATGTCCATCGTCAGTAATGGGACCAACGGAGTGACAAACAGGCAGCATACCAATCCATTGCCAACGTCCTGTCTGTGGTATTGCTCAGGGCCCCAGATCATGCCATCGCTGGCGAAGTTGGTTCCAAGCCTTTTGAGTGGCTGCCATGTGAGATAAATCTGGCCGTCGCGGGGTCTATCGAGGTAGGTCCAGAAGAACGGGGCCTTGTCTTTCGCGACTTGAGGGGCGGCCATAAGCCATTTCGTAACTTGGTTCAAATCGACACGTGCCTGGTCGGCATAATGATTCGCGGAAATCAGGTGAGCATGGCTCAGCTGTTGACACGTTAGCGATGAATCTACATCAAATGCACGTCAGGGCGGCGCTGCGTACAAGCTCCTGATCAATTCCGTCACTCGGATCCTGAGCCATGATGGGTCGCGGTCGCGGTCGCGGATTTTGGATATGGTCGTGATTGGCGGTCCTCGATGCGCGATTCTTATTGGCGCAAAGCAATCAATCTTTCCATCAACTTGCGATCTTGTTCGTGGGAAGAGAAGTGCGCAAAGTGACGTTAATGGATGGATGCGTGCGAGATGTGGGAAGGCTGGGGTTGATGGTTGAAATGGCTTGGAGATCGGTTCGCGTCCCCGAATTTCTCGCGACGAGGCTGAGGTGCCTGAGGTGACCCCTGTCGCGCCAAAGCCAACCAGAAAGGTCTCCCTTTGGGGTCCGTGCGCGGATAGCTTTCCTGAAGGTGCTTCTCAGTGCAAGTGCATCATGCCTTTTTCTCTTACGGATCAATAGGGACTCCAAGAAACTGGACTTCCTGGATCTTTGTCTTCGAAATTATATTTGTCAGCCGTCAACATGATACTATTGCAGGCCTCAATCGGAACCAAGTTCAGTTCAATGCAACTAAACTTGCCTCAAGTTGAAATGTAGTCAACTTCAACCTAGCTTCGAAAAAGCCCCATCCTTACTTCGCATTGTTCGGTTGTTCAAGTCAACTGGTGGTTTTCCGAATTTCACGCCACACGTCAGCGGTTGATAGTTCTCTCTTCACGACATTGTCTCATGCAACAGTCACTTTGATGCGATGTCAAGATTAAATGGGAGGAATCATTTCATTTCATTTCGCCTGGCACCATTATACCAGGTATCATAATAGTTTGTGCCCTTTCCTTAGTCTACGCGTAACCCATCCAAAAATCCTTTTAAGCGTTGTAAGTAGAAGCAGAGACGTTGCCTCCGCGACCGGTCCAGTTAACGTGGTGGTACTCGCCAGCCTTGTACTTCTCGTTGGCCAACTCGGGCTTGACCAGGAAGGTGTGAGCACCGAAGTAGTCACGCTGGGCCTGGAGAAGGTTGGCAGGGAGGTCCTTGGTGCGGTAGCCGTCGAACCAAGACAGGGCGGTGGAGAAGGCAGGAGTCGGGATACCAAGGAGGGCAGCCTTGGCAACGACGTCTCTCCAGCCGGGCTGGGCCTTGTGGATAGCCTTGTTGAAGAAGTCGTCGAAGAGGAGGTTCTCGAGGTCGGGGTTGCTGCGGTAAGCGTTGGTGATGTCCTTGAGGAAGACGGAGCGGATAATGCAGCCACCACGCCACATGAGGGCAATAGAGGGCTTGTTGAGCTTCCAGCCGTACTCCTTAGCAGCCTGCAAAAAGTTTGTTAGCATCTTTCGTGTGAGGTTGGAAAAAACGGCACGTACCTCCTGCATCAGCATGAAGCCCTGAGCGTAGGAAACGATCTTGGAGGCGTACAGAGCCTGCTCGAGGTCGTCGATGAACTGCTCCTTGTTGCCCTCGAACTTGTTGTTGCGGCCAACGTACTGAAGGAGACCAGAGGCCTTGGTGCGCTCCTCCTTGATGGCGGACAGGCAGCGGGCAAGGACAGCCTCGGCGATAAGAGTGACGGGCATGCCAAGGTCAAGGGCGTTGACGGCAGTCCACTTGCCGGTACCCTTCTGACCAGCCTGGTCGAGGATCTTCTCGACAAGGGGAGTGCCATCGTCGTCGTTGAAGTACATGATGTCGCGGGTAATTTCGATCAGGAAAGAATCCAGGACACCCTTGTTCCACTTGGTGAAGACGTCACCAATCTCCTTGTTAGACAAGCCGAGGCCGCGCTTCATGATGTCGTAGGCCTATGTGTGGTATTAGAAGTGTTGGTTGGGTAGATCAGCGTTTGGGACACATACCTCGCAGATGAGCTGCATGTCACCGTACTCAATACCGTTGTGGACCATCTTGACGTAGTGGCCGGCACCTTCGTCACCGACCCAGTCGCAGCAGGCCTCGCCGTCGCTCTTGGCGGCGATGCTCTGGAAAAGGTCCTTAAGATGAGGCCAAGCCTCCTCGTTACCACCGGGCATCAGGGAAGGGCCGTAGCGGGCACCCTCCTCACCACCGGAGACACCGGAGCCAACGAAACGAATGCCCTTGGTCTCGCAGTACTTGGTGCGGCGGTTGGTATCGGGGAAGTGAGAGTTACCACCATCGATAATGATATCGCCCTTCTCAAGGAGGGGCAGGAGGTTCTCGATATAGTCATCGACAGCCTTGCCAGCCTGGACGAGGAGCATCACACGGCGAGGGCTCTTCAACTGGCCCACAAACTCACTCAAACTGTGAGCGCCCACGATGGACTTGCCCTTGGCCTCGTTGGCCAGGAATCGGTCGACCTTGGAAACGGTACGGTTGAAGGCGGCGATGGTGAAACCGTGCTATATGAAAGTCAGCAACTTCTGTATAACTTCAAAACGGCCGGGAAAGGCTAAATTAAGGGTGCACTCGCGTCAGCTGCGTTCAAAATAATGTTCGTTTTAATTCGTTAGCTTTTAATCCATCTGTAAAGGGTTGTGGTGTACAAACTTGACCCATGACGGCCAGGCCGATGAGGCCCATATCAGCGCTGCGATGTAGTTAGCTAGTATTCACATCCGGACTTTGAGTATTCGGGCGCGAAGTAAAGCGGGGCGGGACCTCGGAGCTGGCACAACGCTTGCCACGATGTTGGCAAGACGAGCGCTGGTTGTATGAGCATGAGGTGTTGTTGCGAGAGAAGCTGGTAGCTCACGGCCAATGTGCATTGGCACCTCCCGTGAACCCGTTCAACCTCCTCAACCTCATGACAATACACACAGCTGCGCGAATTGGCCAGCATCATGATGTCGTCGTGAGGCTTCGGAGGCCGGAAGCGGGGTGGTGGGGTAATTTGCTTTGGAGCGACGGGGGAGGGGAATGAAGCAGATGATACTTACACTGGTCCAGACATGATGGCGGTTGGTCGGTATGAAAATGTAGGGGTGTTTTGATGGAGGAGAGGTTCAAACGCGCGATTCCACGAAGACTGCGGGAGCGTCGAGTTATTTATTTCAAGGGGAATGTGTCAAGAGGACAAGAAGCTGGAGCTTTCGTCAACCCGGACGAAGTTTGTAGGGGGAGGGTCGACGGAGGGGTAGGAGGGGACAATGGGAGGGGGGTGGTTTGCATTGGGGCAGGGGCCCCCCATGACAACCTGCACACTCCCACTCTTAGCTTCCAAGTACTCCCACGCAGTAGGAGGCACAGGGCGTACATGGTGCGGTACCTGGTGCTTCATCGCCGCCATCGCTGCTGTGGGAAACGCCCACGGCTGACTTTCGTCTTTTTGCGTGAGGGAAAGCCAAAGACTGGGCAGAAAAGCGGGACGCCGGTTGGAGCGATTGGCTTTGTTGACGGAGCTTACTCATGGGCAACATGTACTGGCCATGTATCTTTGGCATTTCCCACCAGCTCTTCCAGCGCTTCCGTCCACATAATGAGAGAGATACAGAGACCAGAGACCGAGAGAGACAGACACAGAAAGAAGAGGGATGGCATCGTCACCACCAGCCAAGGTGCTCCATCAAGGCCCCTTGTGCTGCCTCCTCCAATTGGGTGGTCTGTCATGGAGGGGCACTTATGACGATGTTCTTCTGCTACCTCATCTTTCTCGCTCTTGTCAGCAGCCCGGCTCCCCCGTCTGGCATCTTTGCCTAAACACATTTTGCAGCTTGCCTGTATGTGTTGCCGTTTTGCAGGGAACACAGACCTGCAACACGATGATTGACAAACAAAACGAATAGCATCAAGCAGCATCATGTCCTCTGACTAGAGAGCGCCGTAAGCAGGTACCAACTTGGACCCGTCGCTTTGCTCATCAGCACGCTGCGACGCCGGTGTACACAGCTACCGCATTGTGGCCGTCAGCCGGCCCGCGCGGCGGATGGCGGCCCAGCAACGACCATTATGCCTGCTCCACGCCGGTGGTGTTTTAGTCAAGTAGAGGCGCGCCAGCCTTGACGAAAGACGGTCCTGACTCCTTGCAAAAAGGCGCTTCTGGATCCGTCCTGTTGTGGTCCGATTCGGCGATAGGCACCCTTTCCCATTGGCCACCGCGAGTTTCTGCCTCACACTCTGCGTGTTCCAGGAAGAGACGAGGTGCGACTCCGGTATTCAAACCTGATGCGTCAAACCCTGACGTTTCGCAACCCACGGCCGCGGAGGAATCACTCTGCGCTCGGTCTAACTTCACGCGGGGGGCTCCTGCTAATCTGTCCCTGTCCACGCCCACGTCCACTGCCCACGATACCTTATTTGCGCAAGGTTGGGTAACGCAAGAGAGACAGTGGGCTGGCGGCATATATTATCACCCTCCCAACGCAACGGAGCTCCGGTGTTCGCTCGCTCGTTCGCTTCGCCCGCTCTTGGACCGTTCATCGACAGTCAGGGGGGACGCCGACGAAAGGCGAGCGCGAGAAACGAGAGACACGGTGCAGTCGAGCTATCACTCGAGCAGCCGCCCTGCACAAACCAGCATGTGCCTCATGCCCCGGACTGCACTTGAGGAAATTCCGTTTCTTCAGCATGGAAAAACACCCCCTCCCATGCTCCGGGCCGTTCCAGCATAGCAGAGCACAGCATGGCTTCCAGAAACTCCGGACATGGACCCTTGAAAGATGGGAGGAAGGGCGGCGTCGCGTCGCTGCCTTTGATCACAATGCGAGCTCTCGGCGTGATGCCGTCTGGCCGTTGATCCTCGGAGGGAAGGCCGCAAAAAAACGCAGCCTTGCCAGTGACCACTCAAACCCAACCTCAACGCATCTGCTGTCTTGTCCTCGCTTGAAGAAGGCAGCGATGCCGCATCCGCGTCTGCATGCGCCTCGCAGCTGGCATCCCTGGCTGTTACTATCCCTGGAAAGACTCGCCAGCAGACAGCGGGACTCGCGCAGAATACGCGACAAATCACGATGCGCTTCAATGGTGTGTAGTCTCCAGGCAAAAGTCGGTCCCAACCAAACCGAAGCTGGCCGTAGCCAGAAAAGCCCGCTCCATTTTCCTCCAGTTGGACTGCTTGGCCGGAGCAGCGAATTCAATCTATTGGGTTCGTTGGGGTGCCCCACGCGTTTTGCTTGCTCAGCCGGAGGGGGACAGAAAATATCGCACCTCCATCTCACAAGGTACCTCAAGGTGTGGATGGAGGCGCAATCGACGGTAAATCCGTCCATGCTGATGCCACCACACTTCGGCCTCGGGCCTGGCTCAGTTGGTGCTCACAAATCTGGGCTGTGACAAAGGAAACGAGGGGCAACCTTTAGGTGGGGGTTAAACACCTAACACCGTATCGCCGCCTTCGGGCCTTGGATCGGTCGCACTTGCACGGGTCGGAGACGTCGGTTGACAACTCCGCTGGAGCTCCGCTGGGAATCCACGCGCATTATTGATTGGCATGGACCTGACCGTGGCAGTCGCAGCGGCCTCAAACGGGCCCTCTCCGGACGCCATGATGTCAATTCCCCATGTAAGGAGGGACGTGGAAGAGACACAGAATAATTGCACTAACAATTATCCGCCATGTCCGTCTGATATTTCTCGACGGATAAAATGCGTCTGATGCAGGAACGGGTGGTAAGGAACTCGGGCGGCCGAGGAACCCAGCCGAGCGGAACGATACCACATGGGAGAAATGGCTCAAGACGGAAATTCCGTCCGCCTGTTTTCCGCTTGATTCTGGCGACTGCTGGGCCTTGGCGGATGGAACTGCACGGAATGACCTCGGTATTTGCTGGCGATTGAATTATGTAAGCCCGTGATCGACGGCAGTTGCGGACCCACCATCCGAAGAGGGGAGTGGAAAGCACCGACCGGCTCCGCTGACATGTTCCAGCCACATCAGTACACGTGACCTTGGAAAGCTTGTTCTCAGCCACACATTCCAAGGCTTTCGCCGAGGCTGCGACGCCAACATCGTCACATCCTGCCCGTACATCACCAACAACGCCCGAATCCTTTGCCATTTGCGACAACACCAGACGCCACACGTCGGCTGCAGCAAAGACACAAAGCTTAAGGGAATTCTCTTTGAGCAGGAAACACCCAGGCTCAGAGGTACGTTCACCACACACAAACAACACCGCGCAAAGTCTTGTTTCTTTGCGAAGGAGCCCAAACCAAAAAAATCCTCCACATTATCCGCAGTCATTCATCATGGCCTACCCGCCCCCTCCAGGTATCTCCAGCGGCGCCTCCAGCAACCCATCCCACCCGTCCCTGCCCGCGCGGCCTCCCCCCTCAAAGTCGTCCGGCGGCTTCAAGTCCGCCTTCAAGCCCGCCTTCGGAGCGGCGTCCACCGCGCCACCCTCCTCCTACTCGAGCGCACCGAGCTACGCCAGCGCACCCGCGGCCAGCAACTATGGCCCCTCATACCCGTCCTATGCCCAACAACATGCCTCGCCCTCCGTAGGCGCCGGGCCCTACCAGGCACCGCCCTCGTACCACCAATACCCGCAAGCCGGCGGCGCCCCCGGCGGCTACGGCCAGACGAACAGCTACACCGCTCCCCCCTCGACCGCGTCCTACTCCGCCGCGCCGCAGATCCGCAACCCGTTCCCCGTCCCCGGCGCGGCCCCCGCCGCGGGCGGAGCAGGCGCCTCCGACTACGACCCGGACATGGCGATGCAAATAGCCCAGTGGCAGAGCGCTTACACCTCCAAAGACGCCTCGGCATCCGCCTCCGCCACCGCCTCCGGCGCAGCGGGCCGCGGCACACCCAACGTCCTCGGCGGCACCGGCCCCAACGCCAATGACATCCCCGACCCGGCAGCCGCGGCCGCGGCCGCCAACGCGCCCCCGGAGCGCAAGAAGACGGTCGTCCGCGAGGGCGGCGGCAAGAAGTGGTCCGACGACACCCTCGCCGAGTGGGACCCGAGCCACCTGCGCCTCTTCGTCGGCAACCTCGCCGGCGAGGTGACGGACGATTCGCTGCTCAAGGCCTTCTCGCGGTGGAAATCCGTGCAGAAGTCGCGCGTCATCCGCGACAAGCGCACCGCGAAGTCCAAGGGCTACGGCTTCGTCTCCTTCAGCGACGCCGACGACTTCTTCCAGGCCGCCAAGGAGATGAACGGAAAGTACATCCAGAGCCACCCCGTCGTCGTCCGCAAGGCCAACACCGAGATCAAGATCACGAATGTCAAGGAGAAGGACCACCACAACCACCGGAACAAGAAGAACAAGAAGCACTCTGGCCACGGCGGCGGTGGCGGTGGGAACAAGCACGAGGGCAGCGGCGGGTATGAACCCCACCTTGGACCCGTACATCACCACGGCGTCACGAAGCCCGGCCAGAAGACCAAGAACGGTCTCAAGCTCCTCGGTTGAGGTCCGGTCCTCGTTGGTCTGGTTGTAAGCTTGCTTAGCGGTGGCTCCTATTACACCCAGGCAATCGCGTCTCCTACATGATTTTGAGCATTGGAAAGCGGCGTTTGGAGTTGGAGGCAGAAAGCATACCCATGTAATAAACCACAAATGCATTGCAAAACATAGATGTGAATTCACTCATGAAAACTTGTTTGGTCATGAAATGTTCTTGATTCTCTGCGTGTCTAACCTCTTGGGCATTACACTAATGATGGGGGACTCAAACCCGGCAGTCTGATATATTCCCCCCTGTTTCCTTCCCGTCTTCCGTCTACTGTCGCCAGTAGGGTATATCCATCTCAATATGCAAGCTTCTCATCCTCTGCGGCCCTCTTGAAACCCATGGGTCTGAAAAGCCACGACCCGTTTTAGACTCTTTCAAAGATCTCGGTACAGGTTGTCTCTGTCCGGATGAGTCCGCAAAAACAAACTCCTTGCCTTCCCTGTCTGCCAACCGGCCAGATATGCTTGCTACCAAATGTACAGTTTTGTTTTGTTTTGTTGACCCAAAATACGACAAAAGAGATAAAGCCACGCGTCTAATTGTCGCGGTGGGCCTGAGCCGTCCTCGACTCCTGCGCCGTGTGGCTCGGGTTTGGCATGATATCGCCGTCCGCCGTGACGAGGTTGTCCTCGTAGTCGGTGCTGTTGCGCAGCAGACCCGTCTCTTCGCCGCCGTCATCGTTGTCGCTGCCGCTGGAGCCCGAAGACTCGGCAGCCTCCATGTGGCCACGCTGGACTTCCTTCTGGGCGTCCTCGCGCATCTTGACAATCTTGATGTAGTTGTATGCGACAATGGCGCCGATGGTGGTGATGAGACCGACAAAGTTGACGGGGGTCAGGCGATCGTGGAACACAATGGCCGAGGCGGAGATGGTGACGACCTCCTTGAAGATGCCCGCAATCGAAAGGGTGACGACGGACGTACGCTGCAGCAGAGCGAACTCGGAGGCAGTCATCAGGAAGGCGATGCAGCCTGGGAACAGCAGGAACAAAGGAGTCATGAGGAGACCCCATTGCTCCACGAGCACCTCGAGGCCCTTGATAAGAGCGGGGAATCCCTCGAGAGGGATGGCGATGACGATCAGGGTGAGGAACATGACCGGCGCCAAGAAGAAGATGCTAGAAAAGGGATTCGAAGTCGCAGGGTTACGCAGAAGCAGAATTTGGGTCAGACCCCAGCGGAAACCGGAGAAGAAGGCCGCTGAGATGACGAGGATGAAGCCGGCAAGGTTGAACTCGACTTCCCCAGAGACCATGAGCACTACACCGGCCGTCATGGTCGCAATAATGGCAACGAGACGCCACGTCGGCTTCTCGAGTCTAAACAAAAAGGCGAAGATCAACACGAAGGCAAGGGAAGATGATTTGCACATGGCTGGACATGGTCAGCAACTCAATATCGAATATCGGTCAGGATCAAGGACGTACTGTAGAATGTGAGAGTAATAAACTTGAGGGAAGTGTTTCCGAGGCCAATATCGAGGCCCGTCGCGGCACCGCATGGGCCAATTCGCGTCAGATAGAACATCTTCGTCATCAGCGGCCGTTCTGGCTCGGACTCGTGCCGTGAACGACCCAGGTCGGAGTGGCGCTGCGCATTCGACGGGCGCAGGGAGGGGATCAAAAACAAAATCAACGAGGCGAGGGCGAATTGTACGAGCATGTGGCATGCAGTCGTAAACATGGGGAAAGAAAAGTTGAGGTGGTCCTTGTCGAACATCCATTTGTTGTACTAGGAGAATCGATTGTCAGCTCGAGGTGACGCTGACGGTCTGGAAGGGGGATGTTGTTGCTTACCAGTGAGATGCTGAGAGAAAACAGGTACCACAGCAGGATTAACACGATATTGACCATTGACCTCCTGATGACATTTTGGTCCGCCTCCTTCTTCTCTTCGGCTGTGACGCCTCCCCCTGGCGCGATTCGCTGGTCTAACCTCCTGTTGTTCCGCTTCTTGTGCTTCTTTCTCCTCTTGTCCTTCTTCGTCAAGCCGGTCTCCTCATCATCGTGGAGGTCCTCATCGGAAAAGCTGTCGTTTTCGATGTCTTTGGAGGCAGACGGCAATGAGCCCATATCCTCTTCCGAGATCTTGGGCTCTTCGAGCAGGTTTCCGCTGTGGCCTCGTGACGGGGTTCGGTGGTGGTTGCTGGAGCCGGCGCTCTGCATAAGACTGCTCCTGCGCCGGCGATGGCCGGTTTCTTTCAACGGCTCCATCTCTATGTCGTTGCTGTCGTCGGCGACAGGGGCGACGGGCGAGTGTTGCTGACGGGAGGGAGACGGGTTAAGTGAAGATGAGTAGGAGGAGCCCAGGCGCGGAGAAGCGTGGGCAGGATCGGCGGGTTGGTCTCGTGGCCGGGGGTCATCCGCAGAAGAGTCGCTGGTCGCGTGTCCAGGTGAAGGAGACTTGGGTGGTGGGAGGAGCAAGGGCGAGGGGCTCAGGAGACGGCGGTTCTGGTGGTGGAGATGTGTGTCCGTATCGTGGGATGACGGGTTGGCGTCGTCGTCGAGGTCAATGGGGTCGGGAGAAGATGATATGGCACTGGGAGCAGAAGAGCGACTGGGGTCGGGAGGCAGCACATGCACTAGGGATGAGGAATCTGAGGAGGAGGTGGACATGATTAAATCTGGTTTCCACCGGGCGGTTCACGGCTGGGGCTGGAGGATAGGTCCCGTGCAGGTGCATTTGCCATTCGGCAAGGTAGGTAAAGCGTGAGGTAAGGTACGGTACGGTAAGGCATGCGGTACGGTACTTCGTACAACGAACAAGCCAACGAACGGGGTGTGTGAATGAGATGGATTGGATGGGTCGGGGGGGTCTGGGTCTGGGTCTGGTTCTGGAGACTGGTCTGGCTGGATCTGGGACTAGTTTGCTTGGTCTTTTGGGATCGGGGTCGGGACGAGGAGCTGGGCGCGGTCATTTGCAGCTCTGGCTGGTTGAGGAGCAGCTGGGCTTGCTGCCGCTCGGTGCTTGGATTTTTTGCTATGGTCTGCCGTGCTAGTAACTAGCAGTGCTTGGGTAGCCAGAAGGGGGGGAGGCAGGAAGTTGCAGACAGACTTCCACCGTCGCGAGACACTGGAGAGGCGCGGAGATGGTCACGGCGGTGCGGATCATTTCTGGACCCCCAGTGTCGCGCCCACACCAGCCGATGAGTGTGAGGTGGGCAGCCACCAAGGAGTGTGGGCTGGGCTGGCACGCTGGGGAGGGGTTTTTTCAGCGTGTCTCTGCCCTGTAGGCAAGCGCACTGTACGCTATGCAGGCTTACCGCCAGTTACCGGCCAATCACACGCAGTCATCGCGGTGTCTCGCTGATGAGATGTGGGTTCAATCTTGGCGCGCCTCACGGTGGAGACGGCTCGTGGATTTGCTGCTGCAGGACTGGAGCGGTCAGGGTCGCCTGCTCAGGGATTCCTTCCCCTCGGCTCCCTGTGACATGCCAGCTCACAGTGATGAGCACCACTGATTGCCCTTTGTTCCAAGAGAGAGAGGCGAACCCCATGAGAAATGCAACCAGCATAATGCACCGGACCCCGACTGGACTGGCAACACCTGTGCTGCGGTGCGGTCAGGTACCGTTCGCCGTCCCTCACCTTACCTACCTGCCACACTGCGTTCCGCGGGCCTTCCGGGTCCTCCTGGCACACTGGAAGCGGTCCATAGTGTCGACGACTTGGTCTCCCCCGCTGTTAGTGCATCTTGCATCCATCCGCATCCCACCTCGGGAGCTGAGGATCATGGGCCATCGTGGATCGTTGGAACTTGGAAGCCCAGAGAGAAGGAAATACTGGGTCGTTCTTGTCTGGCTTGTTGGTCATGGACACATTGCTACCTGACCGCAACGTAACGGCAACAAACCAACGCATTGCCCGCAATATCACAACAACACGCCGTCTGCTTTGAGTCATCAATCTGGGCCCCGTTCGACGGCTCATCGTCCCCGCCGTGTGCCAATGGCCGACTGCCTGACTGGTTTTCACAATTCGACCATCACCGTACCTTATTTCTCCTGAGTTCTGTCCTGGCCTGACTCCTGAGCCTGCTCTCCTGAGGCTGGGTAACGGTATCCGTACCTGAAAGGGGATTTAAGATTGCCTGACTTCATGGTGCCTTTAGGCGAAGTGAGCTACAGCATGCCAACCTAAAAAGACTAAGGCACACTTTAACAGCTAGCTCCCCTAATCCTATTTTCCCCATGCCTTTTCGACGCATGACACCGGGAGGCGGGCAGGCTGGCAACCGGCAGGGAAGCGTCGTCCGAAGAATTGCAGAAAAGTGTCCTCCCGAGTTTCACACGCCTTTACTCGATTTAAGCTTGGTCCAGCCGTCTCTCACGCTCAGAGTCACAGGTAGGTTCTTCCGCTGGCTGGTTGGGCCACACACCGCAGCCACATCCGAGTGAACCAGACCGCAACACCAACACCAACACCACACACACACACATCTACCGCAGCCGTGGAAGGTGTCCTTGCTGGCGGTTAAGGTTCACGCAGCCATGTGGTCGCTCGTGCAAGTAGAAAGTGCTCGGGTGACCAGACCCCACTCGCACTCGCACACACCACTGCTACCATGCATCCAGCACCGTCCTGCTCGCCGTGCGGTGTCTACCTCGCCTGTCCGTCCGTCGTCTTCCCTCCTCGGACCAATCTGCCGCCCAGAAATCAAGACTTGCCTACCGAGCCGGTTTCTCGGGCAGTGCCGCGACCCGCTGCTCCCGAGGAGCATCCGAAATGTGAAGTCGAACTTGCTTACATGTTTGGCAAAAGTTAAAATTCAATAATTCCAAGTCCAAAATTGGTTTGTCCTGCTGGTTAACAAACGATCTGCACACACTCTAAACAACCGTTGCATTGTCGTTGTTTTTGGAGCCCCGTTCCTTCCGAGACTTCCAAGCACAATAACAGGCTTTTGCTATCGGCCATCCAACAGCTCTCGCCTCGGGTCGTTTCGTTTGCTCTTCGAATAGACGACGTTGTTTCTCAGCTTGGCCGTGTTCCCCCCATCTTGTCCCGCCTTTTCACATGGAGGTCTAGACCGAGCCACAATCCACACACACACATGTGCCTACTTACACAGGCGGCGGAGGGGGAGGCTGGAAAACGCTCGAGTCCGGGAGGCTTGAAATCGGGGCATCTATCGATTGACAGTTTTTTCCCTTCTGCATGGACCGCGACGGACGAGCCCGGCCAGCCTCCCCCGCAATACCGTTCACTAACAATACACGTCTTCTCAGTCTTGGGGGCCGGCTGGGAATACACATGTCTCACACACCAACCCGCCTCTCTCAGAAATATCCCCGAAGCTGGTTCACCTGAACACCTGCCCGAGTGAGACAGGAGCTTCCTTCAATGCGGTCACCCGCCACACGCCGTTTCTCTCCCGCCTCTTCCTCCCTTCCCGCCGTGGCACTCTAGGAGCTTGGGGCAGCTCGCGTAGCGGGAAAAGGGATGAGAGAGAGAGAGTGCCGTCATGATGTCAGCCGCCGTCATTCAGCCCTAAACCGAGTGCGTAACGGGGCTGTCATTTGGATTCCTGCGCCCCCTCCCCGATCGATCTTACGACTCAGGTGAGCCAGGCCGCAGTGGATATTCCGGAGAGGAGCTCTTTTCCAAAAGATCCACGCCAAGGGAAGAAGAAAGCAAAAGCCCGAACGTCGGGCGAGAAGGTGACAGAACGGGTGCTGGATGTTGGCCCGCCCTCGGTGCGAGTTTACAGGATTGTCTTAGCCCGCGTAGGGTAGCTGATGTGCCTGACCCAGCTCGGCTTGCAGATCTGACAGCTCTCCCGTCGATAGAGCGCTCACACCAAGTGGATATTGGGCAGCTTCTCGACGCGTCCAAGGCCAAGTCGACGGCGTCATCGGTCTGTCTCGACATAACCATCAGTCTCTGTCGGTTTCTATCGTCCAGCAAAGTCAATCAGCTCGAACCATCTGACAGCATCGATGGATCTAGCAGCTATTGGCTATTGGATGCGTATCACAATATGCAGCTCGACGCAAGCGCTGTCCGTTCGTTTCCTGTGTAATCAGGATTCACGTCTTAGTGGACGTTTTCCCTCCGACTAGTTAGACACCGTCTCGACAAAGCCCAGCGGTAAGATCGGTCTCTTTGGCGCGCCTCGCTGCAGCCACCGAAGCTGCAGGACCGCAAGCTTCCCGTATTTCCCGTGTTCAGCACTCGGCCGGAGTTTACCCTTCTCCCTTGACCGAGGCTTGAGTTCACACCTTACCACGACTTCATGCCACTCGTAGACGAGAAGAGAGACCTTAGCCGTGCAGCCTCACCAACACGCAGTGTCTGTCCAGCCCTGTCTTGACCATTGCTTTTTCCGCGACAACAATCAAGTTTCTAGAATTTCATCCTTGAAGAAAAAGAACCAGCACTGCGTCTTCCCGCCGCTCCGGTAAATCGACGTCATGGCTCAACAGTGTCCGAAGAGACATTCCGCCGGCAGCCATGCCGGATACCTACCTATCGAGGACTATGGAATGATCGGCAATATGCACACATGCGCGCTCGTCGGCATGAATGGTTCGGTTGATTACATGTGTTGGTGAGAGACGTATTTCGTTTTGGAACCCTGATGCTTGGCGTTCACTTACACGAACTGGCCAATGTCGGTTGCCGTGTCGCTGCGCAATATGACTTGATGGCGCCAAAATGGTTCAATGAGACAACTGTTTGCTCCATGCATATGGAAACTCAAGTGAGCCGAGATAGTCAGCACGATCATTTCCAGCAATTGGAGTCTTGCCCTTCGTGATGCGTCCCTACGGCTCTAAATCGAGAAGCCTGACTTGTGCTCCAGGCCCGACTTTGACTCTCCTACTGTCTTCTGTCGTCTCCTCGACAAGGATAAAGGAGGCTTCTTCAGCATCTGCCCTCCTGCGTCCAAGCATTGCACAACAAAGTAAGAAAAGAGGCCCGTCTCGGAGCCATTCCACACGCCGTGACACTGACCACACCTAAAGACAGCAGTACCTCCCATCCTCCAACATCCTTCAGACGAGATATATCCACGATGACGGCGTCGTCGACCTCGTAGACTTCTTCCCCCGCCCAAAGACGGCCACCGTCCTGGCCAAGAGCAACCGGCAGAGCGCCTTTCGCGAGACCACCAAGATCCAGGAGGAGCTCAAGAAATGGCTCGTCCGCCGCGTCGAGTGCATCCGCGGTCGTCTGGAGATGGGTTCGTGTTCTCACCTACATCCCTCACAGAATCACTCCAACTCACAAACATCACAGACATTGAGCTCTTCCCCGCCTTCCAATACGCCACAGAGCCCCATGTCACCACAATCGTACAGCAGACTCACACGCGCGGCAACCCCAGCAAGGCCGTGACCTTTCACAGCGAGCACTACAAGCTCCAGCTCGACGTCACGGTCGACGCTGAGTCCGAGGAGGGGGTCGCCGCCGTCGCCGCGCCGTCCGTCACCTTCACCAAGCAGAAGCGCGACGGCATGCTCAGCGAGGGCGTGGTCGCGCACATCGCGATCGAGGAGGGCCAGGCCATCTCGCTCGTGCTGCGCAACGACATTCCAGATCACGTCACGGAGGACATCACCACGGCGGTCCTCGACGGCCAGCAGCACGACACGCAGTCGTTCTGGTACAAC